AGAAATTTTCTACTTTTTTCAAATCATAAACCGGCTGTTAGTCTGTAAATCGATTCAAGCATTTTGACTGCCTTGTTTATTGATTGACTGGTAGAATTTGCATGAAAGCAGTCTTATAAATCACAAACTAGTTTATTTCGTTTTTAGAAAGGAAGAAGTCAATGACCGACTAAAAACTTTTCCTTAGTACGTCCTAAAAAAAGCTGACTCAGGGTTGAATACACTCACTTTTTTTCAAAAAGTTTGTATATTAATATCTCCGAAACTATTTGACCTAGACTTATATTTTTTTTTACATCATATTAAAGACAAATAGTACTCTCCAGGAACCTCGGGAGTGTCGATCGTTCTGTTCCACCGAGTGTATACCTATAGCTATTTGTGCATCCAAAAGACATATTTTTAGTTTACTTAGCAAGCAAAATACAACAATTAGATATCATGCAGTTTAAATCTACTATTAAAATAATACTTATTAAAAAAGCTTACTATAAGGTATCCGATTATATAAAAGATAAGAATGCTTGGACTTGAGATGATCCAGCAACTGGATAGGTGATTACTTCTTAACTCATTATACATCAAAAATTATCTTGCTTCCATTATTATTAAATGATTATGTTATCATATCATTATAAGACCATAGTTTCTTTTATTTCTCTCTTTATTTATAATGTATTGATCTGGTAATGGCATGGTTTTTGTAAATGTCATTACTCCTATTAGAGCTGGTGAGTTTCTTGCTCGTTCTTCTTTTCAGCCAAAAGACGTCCTGAACGAGCGGTAGGGAAAAAAATGTTGGACGATTCAAAAGTACTTTTAAGAAGTATATATTTGAATAAAGATTATTTTGACTTTGTCTTTGAAGCCAACGTTCGACTTCATAGCTCTTAGGGGTGGCGGGATATTGTTCCATATTTTGGAAGCAGCATAGCGAAAAGCTCCTTTGGAAGAAGCCGAATTATGTCGTTGTATAGATAATTGCTGGGAACATTGCTTCCTCTCAGTCTGCCTACCACCAGCGACCCACTTGAGCTTATTGTACAAGTATAATGGTTCTTTGAAATTAATAACACCGAAAAGCAAACGTGCCAAATGCAACTTCCTTCTGGATTTCATTTTTAGGATCAAGTGATCGTTTAGATATGGGGTGACATGACACCTGGCAGGCACAAAAAAACAAAAACGAGCGCAGGCATTTTGTACACGTTGTATGAGTCGCTTAGTCCTATCCAGTAAACGTGGTCCATAAACGGCATCAGCTTGAGCTTAGAAAGCACCAGTGATTCGGAACTGTACATGCAATTCCTCCGACAGAAATGACCTTATTTTGTATAGGATTTTAAGTCGATAAAATTAAAATGTGTTCCACAAATTTCAGATTTTCGACAATTTTTAAGCCTAAATTGCGTGCTATGTGAACTCTTTTTATTTTTTTACTATTAAGAAACAGTTCTATATCTTGCGGCTAATCTCGCAGTTGCTTTCTAGTTCCGAACAGCATGAACTTTATTTTATCAGGGTTTAGCAACAAACAATTTCTTTCCGACCAGTCTGCAACACGCACCAGATCCTCGTTCAAGTTCCTAACAGCACTTTCATAGTTCTCGGGTCTAAATGAAACGTATAACTGAGTATCATCCGCATAGATATGATACTGGCAATTTTTTATATCTTTTACCAAGTCCACACAATACAAATTAAAAAGAATAGGACTTAAGATGGAACCCTGCGGGACGCCTCTTTTTATTGGAGCAATTTGTGATTCGAATAGGTTTCCATTGTCTAAAGCTAAGCTTACATGTTGTCTTCGGTTACTCAGATAACTATTGAACCAAAATAGTGCACCACGATCAAAACCATACGAGTTCATCTTCGACAAGAGCAACGGTATATTTAAAGCATCAAATGCGCGAGAGTAGTCCAGGAGAACTAGCAAGGTACACATACCATCATCTTGAGCTGATACAATATTATCAACCACATCGATCAAGGCCGTGGTAGTACTTCGTCCCTTGCGAAAACCAGATTGAAACATTGGAAAGATATTATTTTTCTCTAGATATTCGGCGAGCTGTTTACAAACTATTTTTTCAATGATTTTATATAGATAAGCTCGGCAGAATAATTATCGGGCGCAGATCTCCAAAATCCAGAGGGTTGGCAGTTTTAGGCAGAGGACGAACTTTAGCAATCTTCCATACATCGGGAAAAGTATAAGTTCTTATGGATGAATTTATGATCTCACATGTATAATTCATTAACTCAGGCAACGTCATTATTAACATTTTATATATTTTTTTTTTATGGGATAGGGGGCAGACGAGCATACGGATCATCTGATAGTAAGTGATTACCGTCGCCCATGGACACCTGCAACACCAGAGGGGCTACAAGGGCGCTGCCGGCCTTGGAGGAAAGGGTTGAGGGGTAGAGGGAAGGGAATAGGGAGGGGTTGGGCCTCCGGTACCCTCACTCACACGACGAAACACAACGCAAGCGTTGCTTCACGTCGGTTTTCTGTGAGGCCGTGGTATCACTCCGGTCGAGCCGGCCCATTCATGCCGAAGCGTGGCTCAATCCCAATTGCATTCGACTTTAGTTTAAGGGTTGTACGCAAAATCTCGTTAGGACTAACCAAGGCAATCGAGAACGTTGCATCACATAACTTATGAAATTCAAAGTAAGTTAAATTGGAAATGTCAGTTGTTTGAAACCCAGGTACTTTTAGAAAATAATTATTAATTTCATTTGGATCACTAAATTGTGACGGTATGTCATCAATTTGATTTTGTGGCAATATGGTTCTTTTTAGATTTTACCATAAAGTTTTAGGTTCATTAATTTTATTATTGATGTTGTAACAGAAATATGCCTGTTTTTCAAATATTAAAGAAGTCGTCACTAAGGACTTTAACTACTTATAATATTCTCTACTCGTTTCACACTTATTTTTGCGATATTTAGCCAATGATTCGTCTCGTAGTTTCATCATTAACCTGATATTGTCGGTTACCTAAGGTGGAGAAGGTTCTTTTACATAATGTTTCATAATAGATGCATGGGAATGAAACACAGACAAGATGTTCGAATTTAGTTTTTCCACCATTTTATTTACCGTACAATGCGAAAAGTTATCCCAATTCAAATTAGCTAAATCTAAGTAAAATTTTTCGACATTGATATTTTTTAAACCTCTGTATTGTATTATGCAAGGCTTAACCTTTTCTTTTTTTATATTAAACCCACAAACAATAACTGCATGACCATAGACTTCATTACCCAACATCTCAACAGATAAACACTTCGCCTGAAGATCGGTACATACTAGGTCTATCAGTGTTTCACTTGTGCTTGTGAAGTGACACCAACTGATTGAGGCCGATGCAGCCAAGACTGTCGTTTAATTTCTTTGTTTTTCCGTCGGAATCATCGAGCAAGTTTACATTGAAATCGCCTAAAAGAATACAATGATCATTTAGTCCCATTGCACACACTGAATTGAAAATAGAGTCTAAAATTGTTCTGAGTCTAACCATTGTGGACGATATGCTGTACCGATCGCGATCTTTTTCCCTTGGACAGTGAATAATAACCACATCTGTTCAACCAGGGAATACTTTGGATCTGCCAATATATATAAAGATATGTATGAAGTATATATATGAAGATTATGAACTCGCGCGTTGATACCCTTTCTTATATAAAAACCTGACCCTCCCCCACCACCCGAACGAACGGACAATGGACGAGGTGTATGACGCAGACGGTACCCCGACACCACAAGCGCGCGACCCTCCTCACCCCGATACAGCTACGTCTTATTAATTAATATTTTAATTATATTTAAAATAATGATCAAGTCAGGCACTGAATTAAAGTTTGACATATAATATAAAGAATAGAAAAGAAGTTTGACATATCAGTTCATGTTTCATCCCACAAAATACAAAATCAAGGTTGTGTGCGGTCAATACGGAAATTAAAATCAAGCCTTTAAATAATTCAAATAAAAAATTACATGTGATTATATTTTCCAAGCCATATACAAAATAATAATTGTAACAATGATTGCATTTAAACAAGTAGATGAAAATGAAGTTTAAAGATAATTCAATACGGTATTCAAATATAAGTTCACTTTGCACATCATAAAATTTAACATAATAATTGGAATTGAAATTGCGTAATAAAATATGAATAAAAATTAAGTTAGTAAATAAACCAAACAAACATATCATATATATAACCATACCCTGTGCACTATAAAATATAAAATAATAATTGTAATTGTATAACTAAATTTGAATAATACATAAGTCTGAAGATAATTTGATTGGACATTTAGATATAATTTTATATTGTGCATCGTAAAATATAATATAAAAATTGGAATAAATATTCTATTTAAATCAAATGTGAATTAAAAATAGGATTGTAAATAAATTGATTAAAAATTTACATTTGATTTCATATTTCATACCATGAAATATACTATCATAAAAGTTATTGAGACGGTTAATAAATATTATGCGAATCATAATTAAGTTTGTAAATGAATAATTATTGATTAAAAAATATCCGTATGTATTCGTGGCTAGTTGAGTCAGAAACGGAGCATTAACAAAGTATAATCGACCATTATACAAGCCAACCGTGAGACGCATTTTCCTTTAAAATATCTGCATTTAATATAACAAGAGAATATACATTACAAAAAAATAATTCTATCAAATCAAATATAATTAAAAAATTTTGGAAAGATCCTTTTCACAGCGAATCAACTCCACTTTCCCTCCATCTATTTTTCGAGCCAGCATTTTGCCGTCCCTAGACCAGACATGTTTCCATTTATACTCCTTTCCAGTCTGGCTTGCTAAAAAGTACAACCAACGATTCAAGGAACTGAGTCGTTCATTGACATAGACGTTACCCGACTTCCCGGACACATCGATTTCTTTCATAGTTAGCTTCCATCGTATGCGGGCCGCTCGCAGCCACTAATCTCGTGTCAATCGGCGCACGAATCGCACGACAATAGTGCGAGGTGGCAGTGTATTGAGATCGTCATTAGCACTCCTCTCCACTCTATTGCGACGTACTGAACCGACTCGTTCCACACGTACAATATCTCTCTCCTCGTATGTTATCCCTAACTTTGTAGATAGCGCCATAACTATATTTGAGAGATTTTCTCCGTTCTGTTCCGGTAATCCAGAAAGATCTATATCGTTTAGTAGTAGCTCCTGGTCCCTGTCAATGAGCTGTGCCTTCAAATGACTTATATTTTCCTCAAATGTGTTGACATTTTCAGGCATTACTTGGGCGCATTTGGTTTCTAAAGTGCTAAGTCTACTCTCTAGTTCCGACATTTTGACATCAAACGCGCTCAGAGTAGCCTTAAATTATGATATTTCAATTCTGCACTCACGAATCTCATTTCTAATAGCTTTAAGCTCGCTACGGAACGAACGGAGTTCTAGCGCTAAGTCAACCTTAAATTCTTCTGATATATTGTGCGCCGTATCGTCCAAATGGACTGGACTCTGCGGACCTGAATTAGCTGCGGACACTTATATAGGGTCGAGGAATTATCTTGTCTGAGAACCCTTACTTTACAATCAGGACAAACAACCGGACCCTTCACAGCCGCTGCTTCAGCAATACCAACACATGCTTTATGAAAAGTTACGCTACACTTTTTACAGCGGAAACACTCTGTCGCTGTGAGGAACTTTCCCAGCTTCCGCATTAAACCATTTTTGTGTATATGTAATGCATACTTTTTATCAATATTTATATTAGCTACGTAATATACAGAACATTTGTTCTACCCCAAGTATGTATCTTAATGTATTTTATGTTGTACTCTGTACTGTGCAACAGGTATATTTTGATTGGTTTTCAAAACACCCATGACCTAATACATATGTATTATCTAGGGCCAAGACATTATGGTAATATTGGAATGTCATGTTATCTTAGACTAGGCTGTACAGCATGTATTCCTTCCTTGCAATATGATTAAATTACAACTTGACACTGACATTTGACATTTGATTAGATAGTTCCTAAAATTTTTAATCCGTCAAATTCTTAATAAATGTACTGTTTTCAATTACAAATGAAAAAAAATCGTACGAATTTGCGATTGGTGAATTATAAATCTCGAGAGTAATCCCTGAATTTTAATCACTTATACGCCAATAAGATAAATATTTTAACATTTTAGCGACGTGGGTGTAAAATAAAAACATTTCGCGAGTTTTACTAAAAATTACCTACGTCAGATGTGGTCAACATCAAAACATACTATAGATTTAATAACGTTTGTTTTGGAAGAAATTATGTAAAATGAAAACCATTATTACTACTGAAAATAATTAGTTTATGAGATGTGTTAACAATATTTTATTTGTTTTATAACCGAAATGGTATTTTTAATGTGTTGATTTGCTTCTGGGTCACTTTAAAGATTCCTGTCCATCTGGTTTGTATTTATTTTATGTCATTACTTTCAATATATATTGTTAGTTTTAAATTAGGAATCGGAAACTAGATTCAGAATTTATCCACTCTCGTTAATGTTTACAGAATGTGCTTTTAAACTATGTTTGATTTATTGTATGAAAATTATAACCTTTATAATAATATAACATAATTGAATACTGTAATAACTTGGCTGGTGCTCATTGTTGTAGAGAACTAATCAGCTTCGAGCTGAGAAATCATAGGATAATTATTATAATCTTTATTTGTGAAAATATTGTTAAAGGGTAGTTTTACAATTTTAGACCAGCATATTTTATCGTCAAGATGATGTGCAAATAATTAAGTAAAAATATAAAAAATAGTTTGATTTTATATGAAAAAAATCTCAAAAAATAAAATGACATAATACTGCATCTTAATTTTTTGGCTTGCTTGTAATTTGTAATTGTTCTTTACTGCACAAGCTGCTTATAAATTTTTTATACAAATATATTGAACCATTAGCAAGCACTCAGTCGTTTATCCGATTTGAGTATAGTCTTAGATAATATTATAAAGTATAATTTAGTCCATAATAGTTCCTTTAAAAAATTCTGAATTTAGGCGTAAAAAACAAACTGAATGGTCAAAATGGCTAATAGGATATTATGTTTTTGTTGAGTCCCTGATATTAAACTATCATTCTAATGTAAATTATCATGAAAACTTCAAACAACATAAAGCTGAAAGGTGCTCTGTTTAGTAAAACTAGGGGTATCAAATTATTAATGATGCTTTATACATTGCTTTTAATTATGATGTGTGGTGTAGGCAGGGACCTGGCTTGCATGGGTGTTTTTTATTGAATTGGCAGATTAATGTCATTTACTGTTCTTTTACTTTACTGATTGCTTTAATCAGTGCTAGCCTGTTTTGTTTAAGACCCATACTAATAAGAGAGATATATTAGTTCTTTAGTTACACATAGCTATGTTCACATCATTTCAATGTTACTTGTAGTTCAAGTGACAAAGATAAAACATTGTATAACCATACAATGCTTATTACATTGCTAATTAGCAAGACCTTCTATAATTAAAAATCTACATCTGTACTTCTTCTACATCTGACCTTTCTTTTTTATTTTTTTTATTTTATGTGGAATTCAAGAGGAATTTTTATATGTACAAATAAAGGACAAAGTTGCTGACAGAAACTTAGTTTTTTATATTTTACACAGATTAGACAGATTAGATAAATTTGAAAAACTAAAACATGTAAAAGTAAATAAAAATAGACTTTAGAAATTTTATTTTGTTATTGTATAGTTTTAATTGCTTCAGCTATTTTAAGACTATTTTTTTATTATTGTTATAGGCATAATGGCAGATGACCCCAGCCATTCATCAAATTCAGGTAAGTTTTATTTTTAATGTTGTGATGTGATAACTATATTGACCTCTAAAATATTAGTTGAGCCAAATTTGTTATCTTTAATATCAGTACCACTGAATGTGAATAAAGGTCTACAAATGGATACAATATATTCAGGCTTTTTGAGTGCATTCAACAAGGTCAACCATCAGGTCATGCTGTCTTTAACTCTGTGGAATGGGTTTAAATAGGTTGCTGTAACATATGTTTTCATCATATTCTATCCAGGAGATCCAGGAGACGTCAAATACATCCAATGTCACCACCCACATTGGATGTATTTGACTGACTGAAGCCTTTGTAAATTTTGGCGTACTGCAAGGTTCATATCTGGGACCTCTGCTACTCTTAGTTTTTATTAATGACATGGTTGAAGTAATTGATCATAGCATTGTACCTTTATTTGCGTATACATAAAAAATAAATAAAAATAATAAATATCTTCTGCAGTTCCATTAGAACAATATTTCCGATTGGTGTGATTATAATGGTCTTTTGCTAAACCCTTCCCAGTTCTATTTTTTTGATACCATTTGCGCTTTAAGGGATGTGCCTCTAAATAGACTCACAACGTTAATTTTAAGCACTTAGACGCTGTAGTTGATTCATTATGCATGAAAAGTTGACTGTCTTTCTCCAGTCAACCCAAGTGCGCGAATCGCAATAGTTTTTAGGGGTCTTCACAGGCTTCGCGGAATGTTGATGGATTGCTATAGGGTAAACAACATGAATGGACAAATCATGAATGGATCGCGTCTTAGGAAGCAAAAAAATAGAATATTAGAATTATTTATATGAGAAATATGGGCCATAATTGCGCACATGTACGCGCTGAATCGTTAGAATGGGAATGGTATCTGTCAATCAAGGTATGTCAATCAATCAGCGTTCGGGAAGCTACGCGATATCTTCACGTCCAAATTACCACAGTGCCTAAAGACGAAGGTGTATAACCAGTGTGTGTTGCCAGTGATGACCTATGGCACTGAAACGTGGTCCTTAACTGCTGGCCTCTTAGAGAAGCTCAGAGTCGCTCAGCGAGGCATGGAGAGAGCTATGTTAGGGGTTTCTTTGCGCGATAGGATCCGAAACGTGGACATTCGCCAAAGAACTAGAGTGACCGACATAGCTCGCAAAGTTTGTAAGCTGAAGTGGCAGTGGGCAGGCCACATCGCTCGACGAACCGATAACCGATGGGGACGAAAGGTTCTCGAGTGGAGACCACGAACCGGAAGACGCAGCGTGGGTCGACCCCCGACTAGATGGACGGACGACATCGTCCGAGTCGCGGGCGGCCGCTGGATGCAGCTGGCGCAATGCCGTCCGTCGTGGAGTTCAAAGGGGGAGGCCTATGTTCAGCAGTGGACGTCTTCCGGCTGATGATGTGATGTGATGATGTGAATCAAGGTATGAAGGTTTAAAGGCAAGGTATAAAAACGAAAAGGAATGGAAGTTGTGTCGTCTGCCTCTTTCAGCTCTGTTAGATATTCGTGCGCTCATAAGCATTGTTCTTGACAAGATATTTAATATCAACATTCATACTAGGAAATTCGGTTCAACACACACAGATACACTGCTCAATAAAGTCCACGCACGGGGTCCGATTTCACTGGTTCGTTATTGTTTTATTTATTCCGTCGACCACCGAGCCATTAGGGTGCGACTGCACTGCATTTAAACGCACGCATTTAAGATATAACTGAAAAGGCAAATCGCATGCATCGCTCACGTTTCCAGTCGGTTATGTTTTACAAACAGCAAAGTTTGGAACTTGAGTTCTAATGGCAGTGCGGTCAGATTTTAGGGGTTTTAAAAAGACACTCAATAAGTTCCACAAAGTACAAATTAAGGAAGTTCTTTTTAATACTCTTGTTGACGACAGCCACGTGCCGAAAAATGTACAGATCGAACGACCAATCACAGCGCCTACATTAGCTGAATTATCAGGGAGCCCATTGGCTGCGTAGGCGCCGTCCGCACGGTGGGGGCGATTCCCCCACCCGGCGCGCGGGCGTAAAACGCGCTGTGATTGGTCGGCCGCCGCGCGTCATTAGTATCTAAGTTAGATAGTAAGTTTAGAATAAGGGTAGGGCCAAATTTGTAAATATTCGTAGTCAAGTCAAGTCAGTCAAGCAGTAATAAGTAGCCAGTAAGAAGAAAAATAAAACGTCTATAGAAGAAATTCGTCTTTGTTTTTTACCATCATCAACGGTTAAACAGCATCGCCTACAACTCTTGTGCGCAGTCATCTTAAATATGAAAGTTTTGCTAGGTGTCCTGACTATGCTGCTCGTTCTCTTAGTGAACAAAGAGACCGTTATCGCGATATTTAAATTTTTTCACTGGAGGTAATTCTTCGAAATTACCTCCACTAATAATTGTCTTTTGATTGCAGATTTGATGCTTTTGTATATGATATAAAATCCTGAATAATAAAGTTACAAAACACAAAGATCAAATCCAAATT